TTTTCTCCCATTCTGTGGGTTTTCTGATCGCTTCCCTGGTTGCCTCCTTTGATATACAGAAGCTTTTTAGTTTAATGAGATTCCAGTTGTCAATTCTTGCCCTTGTTTCCTGTACAACTGATGTCCCGTTTAGAAAATCCTTTCCTATACCTATATCTTGTAGGTTTTTCCCAATGTTTTCTTCTAACAGTTTCAGAGTTTCAGGCTTTACATTGAGGTATTTGATCCATTTGGAATTGATTTCTGTGCAGGGTGACAGATAGGGGTTTAGTTTCATTCTTCTACAGGTGGAGATCCAGTTTTGCCAGCACCATTTGCTGAACATGCTGTCTTTCCTCCAGTTAATGTTCTTGGCCCCTTTGTCAAATATCAGGTGGCTGAAATTGCAAGTACTCATTTTTGCGTCTTCAATTTTGTTCCATTGGTGTATGGGGTTATTTTTATGCCAGTACCATATTGTTTTTATGACTATAGCTCTGTAGATGGTATATATACCATTATACCATGGTGTGTGTATACTATAAATACATATGTACCTTATATATGTGTGTATTATATAATATATATGTATGTATGTACCATATACATGTAAACCATACATATCAATGGAATACAATTCAGCTACAACAGAACAAAATTATGGAAACACAGTTGAGCCTGGGGAACATTATGTTAAGTGAAATAAGCCAAGCACAGAAAGACAGGTGTTGCATATTCTTACTCTATAGAAGTACAGAGCAGAATGGTAGTTACCAGAGCCTAGATGGTTAGGTGGGAGGACGGGCGAAGGCTGGTTGAAGGATACATAATTACAGTTAGATGGAAGAAATTTTTTTAAGTATCCAAAGCAGGGACTGAAGAAATGACTTGGTGGTTAAGAGTACTGACTGCTTTCCCAGAAGACCCAGGTTCAGTTCCCAGACCCACATGGCAGCTTACACCCACCTGTAACTCTAGTCCCAGGGAGATCTGATGCCTTCTTCTGGCCTCCACTGACATTTGCATACATGTAGTATACATGAACTCACACAGGCAGGCAGGCAGGAAGGCATACATACATGTGCACACACACACATGCACATACACACACATACACACACACACACATCAACAAATTTTTAAAAATGTGTTATATTTGAGGAGGAAGCATGAAAATTTATGTCATGTTAATTAGTAGAGGTGATAAACATTACCATTGTAATCTACCCCTACCCGATGATTTTATAGACATACACGGATGCCTAGGATCCAAGTGCAACCGATTATAACTAGTAGTAATCAGATACATACAGATTAGTGATGCATGCACCAACATCTCAGTGTTAATAACAAAAACAATGAGTCTTTCTGCAAGGAACAATATCTTCTAAAATGAAATGGAGATCTTTTTTAAAGGTTAAAAACTCATTCAATTTTATGTCTTACAGGGTTTGTACTGAGCTCAATATTGTATAACTGTATTAATTCAACTGTGAAGCTAAAAATTTGCAGCCAATTTTGAAAGAGATGCATCTTTGCTCTGGAAATTGCTATTGAATATGTTAATGCTGTAATGAAATGCTTCTTCTAATCATGTGGTTATTAAATAAAATTGAAATCTACCTGACAACATTATATCCATGCTCAGATGCCAAGGAGCTCAAAAAGTAACCAACTGTGACTAGTAATAATCAGATATATAGAGATTAGAAACACAAGTGCAAACATCTTAATGTCAATTGCATTAAAAATGAATTTTTCTGTATGAAACTGTGTATTTTAATAATGAAATGGAGATCTTTTTTAAAGGTTAAAACCTCATTTAATTTTGTCTTATAGGGTTTATACTGAGTACAATATTGTATAACTGTAATAATTCAACTGTAAACCTAAAAATTTACAGCCAATTTTGAAAGAGATGTATTAGCTCAGAAATTGTTATCGAATATGTCAATGATGTTGTAATGAAATGCTTCTTCTAAGTATGTGATTATTAAATAAATAATTTTTAAAAAGTCACTTTAATGCTACATCTAATACATCCAAAATACTTTAAAGACTCTAGTGGGGGGAGGGAGGCTATGGGAGGGTGCCATCTGGGAATTGGGTGTATAGTTGAATAAGATAGTTTGGGATGTTCTGTGTGATACACACACACACACACACACACACACACACACACACACGTCCTCAGATACTTAATCACTTGATTAATCTAGAATCAAAAGATTATGGATGAGATATTTTTAAAAATCCTACTTCTCTTGGGGTCTGGATAGATGGCTCAGCAGTTAAGAGCACTGTCTGCCCTTGCAGAGGACACGGGTTCGATTCCCAGCACCCACATGATGGCTAACAACTTCAGTTCCAGGGGATCAGATGTCCCCTTATGACCTTCGCAGGCATCGCACTACATGGGTGCACTTACAAATATATATACAGGCAATACACTCATACACATAAAATAAAATAAAAATAATAAATAAAAATATTTTTTAAAATCCTGCTTCTCTTTTTTTGTCCTAGACTTTTGCTTTAAGTAGCATCAGGTGACAGGTATATCTGACACTATACCATGAGGGAAAGGTAGTGAGAGTCACAGGCTACAAGGGCCATACTAGCTCTGATTCCCTCTGTGCATTACTATACACAACACTGATTCCCTCTGTGCATTACTTCTTCATATCTATCTGTTACCACAAGCTGAAGCCAGACCCATCATCCTCTACCTGTATTATCACATAGCCTTTGGTAGTCTTTCTACTTGAACCTTGCAGTGGTTTCCTACTGCATACAGGACATAAATTCAGGTCACTCATTGTTTCTCTGGATCTGGTCCTGCCTATCTTTTTGTTTCAGGATCCTCCTGCTTCCATGGGGCAAAGCACTGATTCAAGTGAGAACTACAGCCTCAGAGTCTGAGCTCGTACTCCCTGTAATTATCTTGCCCCATTCTAAAAAGTCCCAGAGAGGGAACCTTATCTTATATTCTGCTGTTTGTACAATTTTTTTATGTCTTCACATAGACATTAAGTATGTGAATGAGCAAAAAGCTGGATTAAGTCTTGCTGATTAGATCTTGGTATTTGTGGAAAGAAAAACTCTAGGTATTTTTCTCATGGTATGAAGATGTCAGAAGCCTTTCATTTAAATAACTTTTGAGCCCTTTTGCTCCATGTTGCATTGTACTCTGTGGCATGAAAGCGTGTGCTAGATCTGGGCAAAGGGAGAAAAGAAGATTAATGTCATGCTACCCTGTAATAATTGGTCAGGATATGCCAGGTAGTTGTTGGAAGCAGCCAATGGTCACTGTGTATCTCTTCAAATATGGAGATTTGACTATAATCACAAAGCAGCGTTTGACTTCTGGGTGAGTGTTGATTTCACATTAGGTAAACTGTGGTCACAAAACAAGCCATAAAGTCTTGGTTCTTCAATTTCCCTGTTCTTGTTCTCAAACAAGCTGTTGACATTTCTGCCCCGTACCCAAAAGATACTAACTTCTGCAGACTTTGAGGTTGGAAGAGAGCATGAGATTATCAGTCTTACTTCCTCGTTTTATAAGGAAAGGGCATAGCCCACAGGGCATAAGTGGTTTGTGCAGGGAAGCATAAGTGATTGGTAGAGAAATCAGAACTCACTCCACTGCCAGTGCACTGTTTTATGGTCAGCACTACTGGGGAAGGTGAGCAGTGTTCACTTTGGAGAAATAATTAGCCTGTGTTTGCTTGATAACAGAAACTACTGCTGAAGAGTGTGTGTCCCTGGATAAGACTCCAATATTAAATCTCACCCACCCATGGTTCAGGAACTGTTGTGGAAGAGGGAGTGGAAAGATACTAAGAACTAGGGTTGGTGCATGAACATAAGGAAACAGAGGCTTTCAGACCTCGAGGAATTTGCTTATATGAACTTCAAACAGTGGTAACAGCATGCCTAAGACCCATGCTGACTCAATCAGACAGAAACCCAGCATAGAACTGGGGAAACGGGCAGCTGGCCCCAACCTAAGCCAAGGAACTATTGGCAACTGATTACTGAGGGGTAAAGGAGAGTTGATCTTCTTTAAGGGAGTGACTCTAGATAGGCTGACTCGTCCAGTGGATGAACTTGCACCGACATCTGGGTAAAAATGCTTGACCTGATAGGACTTAACATATATGGCAGAATGCATGAAATTCGGTGTTGGAAGGAGTTAGAAGGGAAAATGGAGGTGGATATTTCATTGTATACATATATGAAATTCTCAAGAATAAATTAAAAAAAACTAATCATACAGTGGTTATTAATGTCCAGCTGAGTGCCTAGGGCCTGGAAATGGATGCCTGAGTGAGTCATCTGCAGCCTCCAAAATGTGGTGGCTACATGTGCATCTGTAGCACTTGTGTATGTGTTTGCTGAACTGATGGGCAAAGACATAAAAAATAGGTGCAAAATAAAACCCTCTTTTGCAACACAGAATTCATTTTTCAGTTTGAGTTTTAATGCATATAAGAATCAAGCTAGCTCAACATGATGGTGTTATTAATACTGAAGTTGGTTCTAAAAATAAAGAATTGATCCTGGGCTGGAGAGATGGCTCAGCAGTTTAAGAACACTGACTATTCTTGCAGAAGACCTGGGTTTGAATCCCAGCACCCACATGGCAGCTAACAACTCTCCATAACTCCAGTTCCAGGGACTCCAACAGCCTCTTCTGTCCTCCACAGGCATTGCACAACATAGGCGCACTTACCTACATGCAGGCGTAACACTCATACACATAAAATAAAAATAAATAAAATATTTTTTAAAAAAGAATTGATTCTTTAAAGCATATAAAAGTGTATGTCTGGGCTTATCCTTCATTTGTATGCCTGCTCTTGAGAGCCATACAGATATGCTCCCAGGATCCTGGAATTTGGGGAAGTAAGCACACCTCATTTTATTATCAGGATCAACACATGATAGGAGTAAAGTCATCTGTAAAGTAGAGATTGGTTCCTAGACCTGCAAGGTTTGAATTCTGTGGAAGACTTGGATGTCAATTTGAATTTGGAGAAGGAGGTAGTCAGAATAGGGGTGTTACAGAGTTATACATCTACAGACCTGAATTATCAAGGTCCCTTTAACAGGGCCTTCAACAGACTTTGAAGAGTTTGTTCTTATGGATGTATCTACCCTTCTGTGGGATTAGGTGCTTAGACTGTGCTTGCTCAATGCTATTGAATTCCTATTTCATCCAGTCCTCAGATACTTAGTCACTTGATTTTTCAGATAGGCCAACTTGGGAAAATTGACTCAATTTTGAGATTTCTATCAATCTAGAAACAGTGCTGGAGGAGCTCTAGTTCAACGACTTGTTCACCCTTACCTGTAAAATTGACTAGTTTCTCAAAATCCACCTGCCTGGACTGCTAAGGATTACTGAGAACTCTAACATCTCTTTAGGAAGCTGGGTGCATTAAAGGAGTATGTCAGTCATTTTTCTGTGCCGGGACTAGCTCTTCAAGTCCCTGTGGCATTGTCTCTCATCATAAACTTACTAATTTTGAATTTAGGCAACCATCTTAAAGCTTGTACCCACTTGTAAGAAAGAGATCTGTTCTTGATATAGTGCTGGTCTGAACTCATCAGACATTTGAGGGCTTGTGTAAATCAGGTGGAATATTCAGGAAACTTTCCATGTAGTGGAGGAAGCAGATGAACTCACAATTATACTACAAATAAGGATTTGCCATTCTGAGACAGTGTGCCAGTCTCCTACTTCTCTCAGGCTCAGCATCTGAATTCATCCACACTGTTTACTCTGTAACCATTGTAGGTTACATTTATTTTGTACTTAACACATATCAGGCATTTTGTAAGTACTTTGGAGAGACACTGATTAATCTTATACCAGTTATTCCAGGAGGTGAACACAGAGTATTTCTAGTGTGTAGTTTAGGGTACTAATGAGAGTAGCTGCCTGATGTGTCTGACTATTGGATTTGCTATTTACCAAATATTATATATTGAATGAGATTGGTTTCAGAGTTCAGTTCAGACATATTTGGTACTAACCTCAAGAAGATAGTCACTGAGGGGATCCCAGAAATAGTCAATCAATACTTGAGGGTCTATTTCCATCAAATGTATGAATATTGTGTGCCCTGTGTGCAATTACCAAGAAAAACTGCAGGAGATACTAAAGAGTGTGATAAAGCTGCATTTCGTTCTCTAAGCCAGTTTCACAGTTAGCATAGCTTTATACCAAAGGTGGTTTCAGAGGGCCTGGCCTACCAGGAAGCCTGAGAACTGGTGCTAGAATGGTGGTTTCACAGTCTTCTCCCTGCATCCTGTAAAGGGGGCAGAGATCTCAGTAGTCCGGAGGAATCTAACAGCTTAAGAACTGCTGGTAAGCAGAGCTGGTGGTACACGCCTTTAATTCCAGCACTTGTGATGCAGAGGCAGGTAGATCTCCATGAGATCGAGGCCAGCCTGGTCTCCAGGCCAGCTGGAGCTACAGAGATATCCTGTCTTTAAAAGGCTAAACAACAACAACAAAAAACTGCTAGTAAATTTTAATAGCTTAACTGAACTTGCCTTCAGATTATCATACCAGCCTCTGAACTGTCAAACCACTGATAAGGGACATAAGTTCTCTCCTTAAAATATTTTGTTATTTTTTCTGTATGAGTGTATTGCCTGCATGCATGTAAGTGCACCTGTGTCACCCAGTGCCTTCGGAGGTCAGAAGAGGGCATTGGATCTCTGAAACTGGAGTTATGGATGGTTTTTAGCTGCCATGTGGGTTCTGGGAATCAAACACAGGTCCTCTGCAAGAGCAGCTAGTATTCTTAACCACTGAGTCATCTCTCCAGCCCCCATTTCTCTCCTTAAAACAGAGGCTAAAACTGTGTGTGGGGAGGAATCAGCTATCCCTGTGCCACCATAATTTTGACTTCTCTGGAGTGGAGGTGAAAGGAATTCTCCCTCTTGGATTGCCTTTGCCATCACTACACACTGAGAGCTAAGTGAGGACATCATCAGCTAGTTATGACTACCTTCATGACTGATGAAAGTTTTCAGAGAAAATAGCAATTTTAAAAACAAAGCTGGGGGGCTGGAAAGATGGCTCAGTGGTTAAGAGAACTGACTGTTCTTGTAGAAGACCTGGGTTCGATTCCCCACGCCCACATGATGGTTAAGAACCATCTGTAGCTCCAGTTCCAGGGGATCTGATGCCTTCTTCTGACCTCCGAGGGTACTTCATGACATGGGTCCACTTACACACATGCAGGTGATACACTCATACACACAGAATAAAAATAATAAAATATGTTTTCAAAAGCTGGCCTTGGTTATACCTGTAATCCCAGCATTCAAGAGGATCAGTTCAAGGCCATCTCTGAGATACAAAGTGAGTTCAAGGTCAGATTACCAGAGACCCTGCCTCAAAACAAAAAGAAACAAACTTAAAAATCAGTTGCCTGGTGCACATTGAATAACTCAAACTGCATGAAGAGCATGTGTTTTCACTTATAACCCAGTAGAAGGATGAGATCAAAGTTGTAACACACCACCCTCAAAGTGTTCGTTCATTAGAATAAAAAAGCGTTGATTCCTTTCTTCATTGATTATGAATTAATAGATCATCCATATATCCAAACCTGCTTATCTCTACAGTGAGCTGACTCTTCATTCAAATTACAATAATTATAAAATCTTACCTTGAAAATTCATAAAAGTCTAGGTCTTTTCCTTAGATACCTTCATTAGAATATCTCTGGACTTACTAAAAATGCTCACTTCTAGAACCAGTAGCTACCTGGGTATTAGATGTGTTACATAAGGTGATGCTTGCAAATTCTTGCCTTTAGACATCTTGGGAGTTAAATTCATGTACCTATGGGCTCACCATGTCACTGCCAAGCTCTCTGGAGCCCTGCCAGTACTGAGAGTTGGAAGGGATTCCTAACAGTCCCTTCTTGCTGAGGGCCTCACTGTCAGTCAGTGACAATATCCTTCAATATCACATTTGACCATGACATCTCAGAGCTCCAAGAAGTCTCCATAACTTAATCTTCACATATACTGTCTTCCTCAGGGTTTTTTGCAGCACCTGGGTATTCTGAACCTACAACCAGCACCTTTAAAGGTGGAACTCTTGGAAGCTTGTCACCATTCTAGTATTAACCTGTTTAGTTCTTAGAGGTTCCTTATCTGACCTTCCTAGGAACCTGAATCTCTCAGGATTATTTTACTCTGATTCTCATCTGTGAAAATGAGTAAATTCGAAGCCCTTTGTCCAAGGAGGGTCCTTTAGGAATTCTTGAATACAATTAACATGGGAAGGGAGGTGTAATACCCCACTCCTGCTAGCATTTGAGACCCTAGTCTAAACCAGTGTCTCAAGAAGACTGAGCCATTACTGCTCATATAAAGTCATCCAAGGACCAAACTTTCAAAAGTGCATTACTGTAAGGAAAGTCCCACCTGAGAACCTCACTCAGAGCAGAGAGGGGAGCTGGGGTTTCTGATGCTCTTTGTCTAACCCACATGCCGGAAACAATGCTTTGGAGTTTGTGCCACCACCAAGAAAGCTCTAATAAACTGTTTTATGTGGTTTTTTTTTTTTTTAACTTTATGTGTATGCATATAGGTAAGTGCACCCATGTTGTGCAATGCCCGTGGAAGTCAGAAGAGGTTGTCGGATCCCCTGGGACTGGAGTTACGGACAGTTGTTAGCTGCCCGTGTGGGTGCTGGGATTCGAACCCGGGTCTTCTCCAAGAACAACCAGAGTTCTTAAGCACTGAGCCATCGCTCCATAATAAACTATTTTTAAGAATCTTTAAGATTACCCAGGCATCATAGTGCATACCTTTAATTGGGAAACAGAAGCAGGCAGAGCTCTGGGAGATCAAGGCCAGCCTGGTCCACATAGCAAGTTCCAGGCCAGGTGGGGTTACAAAGAGACACTGTCTCAAGAAAAAAAGTCCAAAACAAAACCCCATCAATTGTTTGTTAAATTTTTTAAATTAATTTTTACTGAATTTTTGTGAATTTCACACAACATATTTTGATCATATTTAAATCCTCTCTCATATCTGTACCCCCTTACTGTAATCTCCCACCAAGTGTTCTGTGTTCTCTCCCTCTCTCTCTCTCATATATATGTATATATATATATATATGTATATGCCTGTAGATTCAGGTATATGTATGTGGCTGTAGATTCAGGGTTATGTCCTCAAATGCCCTTTGGTGTGGGTTTCATCCACTAGATCCCAGTCTACTGAGAGCCTTACCCTTATGACTCTTTTGAGAATCCATGTGAAATTTGTCAGTGTACGTGTGTGGATGCACGTGTTTGTCAGGTATATGCACAGATATGTGTGGAGGCCTGAGGTTTTTAATAGGGTTGTCTTCCTCAATACATCTCCACCTTATATTTTAAAGCGGTCTCTCAGTTGGATCCAGAGCTTGCTAACCAGTTTGCTCTTAGGATCCCCTGTCTCCACCAACTGAGTGCTGGGATTATAGGTGGGTTGCCATACCCAGCCTGCATTTACTTGGTTGCTGTGGATCTGAACTCGGGTCATCACGCATGCACAGCAAGAGCTTTACCAACTGATCATCTCCCAGCCCTCATATGAAATGATGATAATATAAAACAAGAGGATGAAGCCGCGCTGTCTCTAAAATATGGCGTAGTGATAGATGTTACTAACCACATGACCATGGGCCAAACTGTGATGTTTCTAGAACTGAAAAAAAAGCAGGTGTGATTGGACCTAATTTGGAGAAATGGCATTCAGGATGAGGATAAAATGTGGCTGTGATCCTGGAAAGCTCTCAGTGGCTTCCTGCCAAGCAGAGACTAGGCTTCAAACAGCTTCCCCAGCTTCTAGCCTGAATGCTTCCTCAGCTTGGGGCCGGTCCATCCCTACCTTGTCTGTCCTGAGGGCCTCAGTAGTACCACTTCACTGGCTCTCCTTGGTAGAAGGCCTCTGTGGGGCCTCAGTGAGTCTGATCCATATGCTATCTGCACCTCACAGGCAAGCTTGTCTGTCCCATTTGTCACCAGCTCTTGGCTATCCTGAGTATCTTTATCAGTGGGTGGAGAAACTTTTGCTTGTCCTCCAAAGGGGTGGGGGTAGGGGTCAAAAACCAGTTCGTTGTCATTGGCATGTATTTATTGGGCAAACATTTGTTGAGTACCTGCTGTTAGTTGACTGGTGTTAGGATGAGTGACACACCATCTGCAGCCCCGGGGAGCTCCTATTCGGGTAGGGGGAGACTGACTTATAATCAGAGAGCCAGAAAACCTCCTGGTAAGTGTGTTGCGGGGAGGATTCTGTCTCCATGACTGTGGGGACCAAGAGTAGCTTTACTGGCTTTAGCACAGTAGAGCATTTCAAAAGAAACCACCAGTTTTATGGGAAAAGCTGACAGTAACTAGGCAGAAAATGAAAACAAATGGATTTTTATATAGAATATTGCTGAAGTCCTTTCCTAGCGCAGGAAGAAGGATTTAGCTTAATCCAGCCCTGTTTGCTTGTTTGTTTAGTTTTATTTTGTGCTGCTGGGGAGTCAAATCCAAGGTCTGCCACTCAAGCCTAACCCCTCAGCCCTCAATCACATTTAATTTTCACTAGAAAGGTGTTGTAAGTATTACAGCAAGGAGCCCAATTAAAATCATTGCATTCCAATGACTGTGAGATGATTTAATATGAATTAATAGTTGTGTGGTGGTCTTAAGAATTGTTAGGAATATACTTTGTAATTGGGGGAATGATTAGGTGACTGTAGTTAGTTGGATCATTGTGAGGCTTGCTTACCTAAACCTTAATATTTATCTTTTTTTTTCCATTTTCTTCCAAAAAGAAAAACAGAAAGACTTTCAATATGTGTGCTTAAATTTAAAAATATATTTTAGATTGCTTTTGTCTCAAAGGTTTTAACAAAATAACCTTTGGATATCTTTTTATGTAATAGAAGAGACTTAAATTTGACATTTTTGTGGGAAAGATCAGTAATATTTTAAATAGATGTTACTGTGTTCAAAATGGATTATTCTTTTGCATGTGCATTAGATTCCATCATTTAAACCCAACAGAAATATTAGATATAGAGGTTTTACTTTTTACCAAGTAACGGGAACCATATCAGATTTTTACATTATAGAATAGATTTGAAATGTATGTTTGGCCTGGATAATAAAACAAAACATTGCTTGTTCAATAAGAAGACTGTCTTGTCTTTAAGGTTATGAGAAGACAGATGATGTTTCAGAGAAGACCTCGCTGGCCGATCAGGAGGAAGTTAGAACCATATTCATCAACCAGCCTCAGTTGACAAAGTTCTGCAACAACCATGTCAGGTAGGAAGGACTCAAGAACACCATGGGAATGCACGACCACAGAGCAGAATGGTGGAAAGAAAATGCGTGCCAGGAGTTCTTGGTTCAGTCAGGCTGAGTCTGCTGCTTCTGTCTTCTGGAGTAGAATGTTTGTCTGGCATTCATAAGGCTCTGGGTTCATTCACCAGCACCTCAAAAAGAAAAGAATAAAACTGAAAATAATCTTGATGTAGGAGGGGGCAGAAAGGCTAAGCGCCTGTACTCTAGCAATTCTGAACAAGGGACGCTGCTCCTGGCAATTGTCATCGCGCTGCGCTGTTAACAGAATGATGTATTGTTTTTGCTTAATACGTTTTAACATTTTAGGAACAATCTTTGCAATGCTGCATGAAGAACTTTTTGGTTTTGTTTTGTTTGTTTTACTAAAGAGTATGGGTTTCAGTGATAACTTAGTATGTTGCTGAGGAATGGAGGGCTGTGAGAAGGACTTCTGCACTCTGTTTCATTTCAACATCCATGAAGAGTTCACATCAGCACTAATTTCTAAATAGCCTTGGATCACAGGAAACCCCACCTGTCCCACTCAAATCCCCAGTGTTTCTCCAGGAGCGGAATTACCAGATTGAGGTGTACCCATTTAAATGTACTGTTTACAATGGCAGATTCTTGAGGCATATCTGTTTGGAAAGTATGGCATGTGTCCTTTAATCACCCTTTTGTTTGATAAGCAAGAAGGTGATCTAGATGTTTCTAAGACCAAAGTGTCCATGTCGTACTGATTCTGGACAGTATGGCGTTCTCACTGTGTTTCTGGGGAGGCCATGAAGGCGTTGCAGGTAGAACTGCAGGAAGCGCCATGTGCCTGGTTATCTGGACAGCACTGTGTTTACCCTGTAGGCCCTGCTCAAAGACTGCGTTTGTTTCTGTTGATGTTACACTATCTTATCTTAAGCTGCCCTTCTTTGCCAGTGACTCCTAGACTCCTAGTGCTGTTAAGCACGATAACTGGCCAAAGAGGACAAAGGATGTCACAAGGCCTATGAGATTCACTCTTTGCTGTTATTTAGCTGTTTGCTTCCCCCCTTTTTCATTTACGTGAATGACCCCTCAGGATAGCCTCCAAATTTGAGAGTGCAAATGTTCATCATGTAATTACTTTTGTGATGGTAACAGAACTTTGTAAACATGGGTGCCGGTTTCAGAGTAATCAATCTCTGTGCTACTTTTTATTTTTGTTTTCTAGCACTGCAAAATACAACATAATCACGTTCCTGCCAAGATTCCTCTACTCCCAGTTCAGGAGAGCTGCTAATTCGTTTTTTCTCTTTATCGCACTGCTTCAGGTAAAGTACCATCCTAAAGCCTTTGTTCAAAGTCAAATATGCCCTATACCCAGAAATATATGGACAGCACTAATTGGATTCAATTGGAGTTACTAAATTAAAAAGAAGATGTGAAGTTGGGGTCTAGGGAGGTGGGTATAAATCTGGGAGGTATTAAGGGGTGGAGTGGGGGATCAATATGATCAAAATACATTGTATGAAATTCTCAAAGCATTAATAAAAATATTTATTTAAACATAAGAAGCTGGGTGTGGTGGTGCACTCCTTTAATCCCAGCACTCAGGAGGCAGAGGCAGGCAGATCTCTGTGAGTTCAAGGCTAGCCTAGTCTACATAGTGAGTTCCATGGCAGCTGGGGCTACAGCAAGACCCTGTCTCAAAAGGACCAAAAAAATAAAAAAGTAACAAATGTTCATTGTTAACAAGAAGAGTTGAAAAATAGAGCAAAGCATAAAGAAAAAATTAAAACATTTTACTACAAGAGGAAGTTACTCCTAAAATTTGAGTGTTGTCTCTCTAAAATTGCTTTTTGCTCCAAGCATTATTTTTTGATATAGATAACAAAAAGGGATCATGAAATAAGCATTGTTTCACAATCTGCTTATTCAATAGTATTAGACCATGTGGACATTTTCCTAGGTATTTGTTGTGTTTCTAAGTTACTTTAATGGTGATATGCTTTATTATATAGCTGTTCTCATTTTTTAGACCTCTACTATATTAACACTATATGTTTTATATTTATTGTGAAGCTAGTTTACCTGCTGTCTCAGATACCTTACCCAGTAGTAACCAAATAAGTGAGGTATGTTTTAAAAGACACTACAACTGGGGCTGGAGAGATGGCTCAGCGGTTAAGAACACTGGTTGTTCTTGCAGAAGACCCGGGTTCGAATCCCAGCACCCACAAGTCAGCTAACAACTGTCCGTAACTCTAGTCCCAGGGGATCCAACAGCCTCTTCTGACCTCTGTGGGCATTGCACGACATGGCTGCACTTACCTACATGCAGGAAATACACGCATACACATAAAATAAAAATAATAAATAAAATTAAAAAATAATTTTTAAAAAAGACACTACAATTTTGTTGTTTTTAGATTTAGTATAAACTCCCTGGTTCTCACTGGATTTAGCTCATCATTTTTTTCTTCTTTTCTTCAAATAGCAAATACCCGACGTGTCACCAACAGGTCGCTATACCACACTGGTTCCTCTCTTATTTATTTTAGCTGTGGCAGCTATCAAAGAGATCATAGAAGATATTGTAAGTATTTTTTTATATAGAAATTGGTTTAAATGTGTATTAAGATTTTTGTTTTCTTAAGTTATTTAACTTATAGAATAGACTATTTTAAATGCCTATTCAACTTAAAAATGAATGGAATATGTTCCTTCCTCTGAAGCTGAGTCTGGAGATATTGCTCAATTAAGAACACGTACTGCTCTTGCAAGACCCAAATCTATTTTCCAACACTCATTTTGAGCAGCTCATAACCACCTGTAACTCATTTCCAGGAAAACTGATACCCTCTCCTGGCCTCCTCAGACATCTACACTCATGTACACATAGCCACACAGACACACACTCATACACATAATTAAAAGTATATATAAATAAATCTTTCTTTAAAAATACAGGAGCTTTGCTAAAGAAAATTTTTAATTGAAAATTAAGTTTAAATATTTTTTAGAAAACAAGGAAGCTGAGGTTTGGAGAGGTCCTGTGACTTCTCCAAGAAGGTAGAGAAATCAGAATTCTTTTATTTATTTTTATTTTATGTATATGAGTGTATTGTCTGCATTCATATAAGTGCACCTGTGTCGTGCAGTGCCTGCAGCGGGCAGAAGAAGGCGTCGGAGCCCCTGGAACTGGAGTTAAAGATGGTTTTTAGCTGTCATGTGGGTGCTGGGAACCTAACCTAGGCCTTCTGTGAGAGCAACCAGTGCTCTTAACCACTGAGCCATCTCTCCAGCCCCAAGAAATCACAATTCTATCTCACACTGTGCTCTTTGCTTTCACTGCAGAGTCATCAGCAGTACAATCAGTAGCATTTATTGTGCTTCTGGGTGTATATAATTGTTCCCTGCTGCTTATATTTATTAGAACTTATAGCAAACCTCTAAGGTATTATTGACCGTCTTCCCATTTTTCAAATGAGGAACAGTAGTCAGGAGGGCAAAGTAGCTTGGCCAAGGCCAACCCCAAGGAGCCAGAGCTCTTAGAGTTTAAGCATGGCAGTGGGTTGGAGCCCTGCCTGTTAGCACTCTTCTCACCTGCCTGCTTTGTCTTCTCTTCGGTTCTAAAATAATTGCTCTAGTTATGTTTTCTAGACTCTGCCTTTCAAAATATATAGTAAATTAAAGTGTATCCAAGAATTATTTTTTCTATCAGAAAAACTTTTTTCTATCAGAAAAAATACTCTCACTATTGACAGCTCACTATTGTTGACAGAGCTCTTATCTAGCATAATACAGCCATTAGAAACCATTAGAAAGAAACTCAACAGATAGGTCTTGGAAAACATAGTATAGTATCATGAGGCAGTAACAGTTTTGTGTCATAGAATTTTTTTAGTGAAACAAGTCTTAAGATACTGACAAGCTGTCTCTAGGAATTGTTTAATAAGAAGTTTATATCAAACTATAAAGTTACAGAAAGTGTGAAATTGAACTCTCTGGAAAAGAAAAATGAAGCGGGAGCTGGAAAGATGACTCAGGGGTTAAGAGCACTGACTGTTCTTGCAGAGGACCCAGGTTCCAGTCCCAGCACCCACATAGCAGCAAACAACCATCCATAATTCCAGTTGCAGGGGATCCAACACCTTCTTCTGGCCTCCATGGGCATTGCATACATAGGCAATCTTATGTATATGCAGGCAACATACTCAGACCCATAAAAAAAAATAAATCAATCAAAAAGAAAATTAAAAAATAAAGAGAACTGAAGCAATAGTTTAGGTAGTTGGACAGAGAACTATCATTATCATGAATTAAAATGTGTCACATATTCACACATTCACTCAAGGTAAACATGGCTTAGGTGCCAGCTGTCCCTTAGGATACACCTTAGGATGTTTTAACTGCCGCTGTGCTGGTAATCACATTCTGTATGTCAGTGGCTTAATATATGTTATCCACTTACTGAAAGACAGTGCATGTTGGCGGAGGCATGAAGGACAGGCAGTGCCCTTGTTCCATGTCAGACCTCAGGGATACAGTCTGAATCAAAGCTCTGCTGTGTGGAATGTTGGGGGTCATAAAGCAGAGGAAGGCAGAGGGAATAGAGATGGCACTTTTCATGTGTTTGGGCCGTCAGTGGCACACAGCACATCTATTGACAGCTCACTGTTAGAACTAATGTCGTGATAAAGAGGCGGTGTTATCTCAGCATCCTTGGAAGTAAAGAACTAGATGTATGTGAGAACCGTAATGTCTTCCACTTTTACCTCAGAGAATAAAAGAGTTGATGGTCTAGTAAGTCTTCTTTTATATACTGTTTTTATTGTTTTTAAAGTTTTAGAATGAAAGCTAAGATTTTTCCTAGTGAGATATTTAATACATCCATTCTTGATGCTTTGGATAGTTTAACATAATTCAATGTCTTGTTTTTTGTGCAAGTAACAAACAACATAAATACTTGAAAATACTGCAAATTAATCAATGTATCTCTCAAAAAGTTTTTATCATACTGAACGCTACTTCTTGTAGTAAAGATCAGAGTTCAAGTTGTTTGATAAACTAATATTCAATACCATGAAAACATTTCTTCTTTGCCAGAAATTAGTTAAATATCAGTAGACTTCAGTCATTATAAAATGAATACTTATTCAAAGCCTGAGTCATGCAGAGACCAAATTCTGAGAATGTCCTAGTAAGTAAACAAAGCGTAGATGGAGCTAATCATCTGCTAGAGGAATGAGACCATCAAGCAGTCAGACTGGGCTAGTTTGAGAATTAAACAATGCACCTGAAATCCTTAGGTCAGTGCCCATAGTATATAGCAAGGAATGAGTATTTGCTGACTATACTTTTATGATTCAAAGTCCTTTTGACTACAAAAAAATGAATTGGAAGGAAAACAGATTTTGGCAACCTAGATCTAAGAATATTCTGGTAGCTGGTATGAAAAATAAGATATATTGGGCCAAGTGGTATGTCAGAGATGGTGAAAAGTAGAAAAGGGAATTCAGTTCACATTTCAGAATAAAACTGACAAGATTTATCACCATCAACACACTGCATCCCCTATTTATTTGGTTCAATTCTGTCTCTACCCATGGAATGTAAGCACCATGACTTGAAAGGATTTGGGCTCTTGTTTATTGCTGAGTCCTCAACATTATTAATGGAGCCTGGATCATGTGAATGTTTAGTACATCATTACTGGGTAAAGAAAGTGAATGAAAAGAATGAGAAGGAACTAAGTGCAGGGGTGGCTTTCAAGTTCCAGGATTGTGAAAATGAATGATACATGGTTATGTACCTTGAATCAAGGCCCAAGTCTTGGGGGCTAGATCACAGGTTGCCTTACAGACACAGTTTGAGGCATCTTTGAGACCACCAGAGATGTCAAGGAGGTAAGTGGACATGACTGGGAAGCTCTGATGAGAGTCTTGGTGTGAAGAAATGGATGCAGGAGAGAAGTGAGGAAGGGTGTGGACTAAGCCCTGAGTAATCTCTTCCCTGAGTAGCAAGCAGGCAGAGGAGATGAGAAAGAGCTGAGGTTCAGGTGGGAAACCTGGGCACTGACGTGAAAAAGGCTTCCAGAATGAGGAAACTGAGTCCATCACTCTTGGACAAGTTCCAGAGTCTCATAAAGACTTGGCCTTTCTTCCTTTAAATGGAATTTAACGTGCAACTTTCAGACTTATGAGGGAACTAAGTTTTAAAAAAGCAGCACTGTACAATTCTTTTTGAAAATTCGTATCACTATCTATAAAATATAGTTTACTGAATTTTCTATCTAAAATTGAAAATATTAATTAACTCACCAGCTCTCAGTGATATTAATTTTTATGTTAAGACAGTATAATCTTTGATCTCAGAAAGTAGCTGTTTATATATTTCCAAACTGTTCATTTTAGAAGGAAGAATGATGACTTTATGATGCAAAACCCAACTGCTTTGTCTTTGTATTTCTAAAATTAGAGTCTGGATCCTTCTGTGCATCCAGCACACTTGTTTTTTGACACATTAGCCTGATTTATCCAGTGGAGGGAAGGGTTAGGGAAGAAATGCTGAAGTGGGAGAATTCTCTGCAGATGGAAAGCAATATCCAGGACCATTTTCAATTTCATAAAGATTAATTTCCTCTTTGATGTGAAATGTTTGATTAATCAGCATTTATTATCTCTGTCATTTGGAAGTCTAAGCATCATTTCATAGATGTGCGTTATTTTGGAAGTATTTATACCTCCTTTGACTACTTAAATTATCTTCAACCTAATTTTTTAACCAACATTTATTGTGAATTGTTTTCTTATTTTCTTACAATCTTTATTTAAAAAACGAAAAATGTTTTGAAGTTTTATATTTATATTCTTTATTGATGATATAAATATAAAAGGATTTAATTTTTATTTCAGATTGTTTTCTGGCAAATTATGCTTTTTATTTTATGTATATAAGTGTATTGCCTGTGTGTATATCGTGCAATGCCCATGGAGATCAGAAGAGGGCATTGGATCCTCTGGAACTAGAATTACAGACAGTTGTTAGCTGCCATGTGGGTTTTGGGAACCGAACCTGGGTCCTCTGCAAAAGCAGCCAGTGCTCTTAATTGCTCAGCCATCTATCCAGCCCCACAAACTTGCTTTCTTTTGGAAGCAATACTATAACTATTAGTGAGCGTTTTGCATGGGGAAAGAATTGCTGCATGTTACATAGTTTCTCCACAGAGTATTTTGATGCTTTTTGTGTTTCATGCAGTTTAGTGGCGATACTTTAATGAACTGAGCCCAGCGCTTACTCCACACCTCTTAGTTATTACTGCGACTTGGAGAAGTGCTAATCTACCACTCCACGTATTTCTTTTGGGAAACCTTGTCATATATGCACCAAGCTTTTTTAAAACCATGTTTATTTTTTCTCAAATGGAAAGCTTAGGCTCGTGTGGTTTACATTTTGCATTTGTTCCAATGTATGTTAGTCAGAAACTCAGCTAAGTTTGGCTGTGAATTTTCCATTAGAGGATCTTTGAGCAAAGGGTTAGTTACATTCAACCCTGTTTTGCCATATTACCCATGTCTGATGTGTTATTCTCAATGCTTTAAGTTTAGATGGAAGCCACAGGCAACTTCTGGTTGAACCACAGAGGAAGAGAGCTGCCTGTGGCCACTCAGCTTCTCAAGTTTCCTCCAGCTTTCTATATTGTTTTCTTGCTGCTCTAAAATGCTGAGTTGTGTAACTCTTCAAACTCACTTCCCTAGAGTTAGACAAAATCGCCTGCTCACCATTTAATTTTGTGGGTGCTTTTTGGAAGAGAGAGAATAGGATCCTCGGACTCAGTAGCTTCTGAGTGCACACAGTGGGAGATATTGTTGAACAGTAAAGAGACGAGGCTGTGTAAAAACAGCAGGTGTACTTGGTTCTAGTTGTCGACCGACATCAGCACACCATCAAATTATAGAGGATGTACTCAGCTTAATTAGATAATGAATTTCACAAGAAGCTGAAAATATTTCAATCCCGTTATTAAATGGTAGTTATTATAGATAATTCTCCTGGGCAATCTTCTTTTTTAAGTGAGTTATTTAAGCAACAGACTAAATCAGCCTTTCAATTCAGTTTTTCAGTACATTAAAATGTTAATCTCCCTAAGTGCTCATGTGAGAAACTTCCTGAGGACACCAAGCCTGTGCTACTAAGGAAGAGTACTGTGTGAGGAAGCTGTGGACGGTGAGGTCAGGTTCAACATTCCCGAGCACCCTTCAGTTCCTCCCATCCCAACACCCCCATCCGCGAGTGTGGAAAGATAAGAACCTGGAGAAACAAGTTAAAAGAAATCTCTCTTTTGTTGGGGGTGCTGTGTTTCTTTATCGATCTCGTTCACTTTTTTATTGTATCTTTTCGTTTTCAACTTTAGAAACGGCATAAAGCTGACAATGCTGTGAACAAGAAAAAGACACAAGGTAGGAACTTTACATCTTGTTTCTCATATTTACCAAGTGCACTCACTGTCATAGCTCCAGACTGTTTAAGTAAATATGACTCAGTCAAAAATGCTATACATCTCTCTCCAGTTTCATCCTTGCTTTGTCAGCATTTATTAACATGGCACCTAAATGCACGAGAGTGACGCCACTTTTGAAAAAGCAGCATTTAATATATTTAGGTGCTTCCTAGCTATATGCTTCTAAATATATTCATAAGGTCTGCAGTTGTTTGCACAGTGTTAAACACTATAAATGTCTTTATTCTGTTTGTGTTTTGTAGTGTTGCTATAGAAAGACATCATAGAAAATAATCCGATATGTTATTACTCGGTTGAAAACCATTCTGGGTTATTGTGTACATGCAAAGGAAATATGCTCACCGCCCGCCCCCGCCCCCCCCAAAAAATCTCATGTTTAAAAGCAGGCCCAGCTTCTGCAGTGTGCAGAGTGTTTTGATGTAGACCAAACCAAAATAGCCTTCAACACAAATAAAAAGACGATTAGCTCTTATGTTTTTAAAAAATAGGAACTTGCAAAACACATACTTTCCTCTGTCATCCCTGTGCTTGCTCCCCCTGAGAAGCTCATTTCTTTCTGAGTTGTCTGATGGGATGGGACTCAGAGAGGTCTGCGAACATCACCTGGTCACTACACATAGTTGTCATTACAGAGTCTTTACTGAGATACTAATTATTATGTATATACAAAACCAAATGAGAATTGTACCTTTGAAGAGCTAGTAGCCTATTTGTTAAAATAAGTACATGCAGAAATGTGTAAAAGGACAATGTTAGAGATTTGGGTGGAAGATGAAAGGCTGGGTGGGCTGTGTGGTCTCAGTGTGTCCTTAGATTTTTGTGGCAAATGTTTCCCATGTTCAATGCTATGGAAAGCCCAAAAGGAAGAAAGTCTTGAAGTATTTTGAGCTAGGCCTTGAGTTTTTGGGAAGGCTGTGGCTAAGCAGAGGGACACAGGGGAGCCATTTCTCATGCACATTGAGTGGGAAAGGGGAAGGAAGGGGCAGTGTGATCAGGAAGGAAGAAGGCTGCTGGGTTGCTGGACTGAGCTAGTAATAGAATGTCATGTGTGGAAAGGAGATTCATATCAGAGGAGAACACACACATAATTTACAAGGGAGGCCAGGTTAAGTATTTTGAAGCCTTGATGCCACCCAAGAGGATTTTAGCTCTTCTTGTGTGTACTCAGTAGTTAAAACTGAGGTTTTAGAGACCAAAGAAAAGCAGAATGAGCATATACATTCAGGAAGGAGAGAAGAAAGGATCGGATCACAGAGGGAGCTGTTGGAAGTCTGGAGATAGAGCTGCTCCAGAAGTCGAGGTGTAAAGGGGTAATCATAAGAATGAATGTAAAACATATCCAGATGTTTCACGTACTAGTATTTCTGGCAGTTTGCAGCTCTTGCATCTGTTGTCATGTTGCTCAGAATATTCAGTGGAAGCTTTTGAAACAGAACTATGCAAATATGCCTTTAGTAGACACTGCATGAGGGGCAGAGGGCTCCAGTCTTCAATGACTGCCGGTAGTTCTTGTTCAAGCCCAGGCCAGAGTAGTCAATATAATAACAATGAGGACCTTGTCATAGCTGTGTGATTTTAGACCACCACACCTTACCGAAAGGGCAAACCAGTTCCTGCCTACCTTCTTCTCAAAACGTTCCCTTCAGACAGCGTTCTTCCTGTTTCTTTCTGGGTTGATCCATCCTCCTAGAGTTGCAGGATTAGTTCTCTGGTTGAAAATGAAGAATAGGAAAGTGAGAAAGTGAGAGAAAAAGCTTCAGTACCAAGTGTAAATAAAACCCACTTCCAAAATGAAATGTAAGGATTCAGTCATGGAAACAATTTTAGTCAGCAGAATAGTTGGAAACCTTACATCCAAGAAATAAGGGCTTTTAGGCTGATTCTTGAAATTGTTTTCTAAATGATTAGCATCTCTTTTTAACCTCTGCCTAGAGCACTGGTATTCTTGGTTTGGTAGATGACAGGAGATAACAAAAATGTCTGAATGGGATTCTGTTTGCTGTCAGATAACTCAAATTACTTGATATGAAAGCCATCTGTTTCATTAGACCAGAATGAAATTGGATTTGCTTTCCTGAACCAAGGCAATGTTGGTGTGTAGGAATAGGAGGAAGGATATTTAGGACAGGTAATTAATTTTTGACAAAGGTTTAAAGCGTTAAACTTAGATTTTCATTTCCTTGATGTTTGCCAAGACCACATGAGAGGATGCCTATTGCTCAGATTCAAATATTAACCCTTATGTGTTCTTATAGAAATGTATTTTTTCTCCCATATTTTGCATTAAGGCACTAGAGAGAGCATTCTTTCCTCTGTCATTCCCTAGAAACTTCAGAAAGACAAATATAATTTATTGTGAACATTTTCAGACATTTAACTGTGTACTGATGCCTGTCTGGCACCTCAGTTTTACCAATTAAATAATGGAGCTTCAGTCAAACTCAAAACTTCACAACTAGGCTTTATGTTTGAGTTTGTCCTCAGTATTTTTGGAGAAAAGCCTCTTCTTGCCATATGTATATAAATGTTGGTTAAGCAGATGGCTTAGTGATCTAGCAAATGTAAAGTTATATATTATTTTCCAAGAACCTAGTTGCAGAGAGGGGGCAGAGTATAAATGGATGCTCTGTAAACGAGTCTTGATGAGCTCCGTGGTCCACTCTTCCCAAACAACATTGACTACTTCTCTTTGTACTTGATGTCCTGTTGTTTTGATGGTTTATTCGCAGTACACAGGGGCACTACAGAGGACAGGCCTTTCTCTTATTTGCCTCTGAATACCCAGTAGCTTCTGGCTGAGAGTCCTCTCTGAGAAGGTGCTTTGGGGGTGTGTGTGTGTGTGTGTGTGTGTGTGTATGTGTGTGTGTGTGTGTATG